CACTTCAGTCTGATAATCCGCTGGATCGATAAGATTAATAATGACATCTCGTGATAGACGTTGCAGCCGTACAAAGGCGACGATAATGACGTTTCTTAAAGTAAAAGTTTCCAAATCGGACTTTGCGTAGCAATATCTCTGCTTGTAGGGCACGTAGCAGAAAATAAAAATATTTTTATTATGCAAGTCGGACTCAAGCTATCGATCAAGTATCATACTTAGAATTTGATCACTATAGTCGTTATTGAGATTCGATAATTTCAGATGCTCGAACCTCGACGACTCGCGTAAAGTCACACGGCAGTGTTCTCGGTTGACTTGACACTCGAGACACTACCGTGTCTCCTGACTATTTTCATGTTGATATTTTCACAAAATTAAAAACAAGAGAAGAAGTGTATTTTTATATGCTTAAAATAAACTTTTCCTAAGCGAAAAGAGTTTTAAATTTATTATTTATATTTTATAAAATGTCGCTTTTTCAGACAAAAATCTCTATTTCTATCTTGTATCTCTATTTTATAAATCTTATTTATTTTCATAATTTATTAATTATCGCCGCATTAAGACTTTATCATTGTTGTAAATTAATAATAATAGTTGTAATTAATATTAATATTAGTAACCTTTTTAGAAACAAGGTACAAATATAAAATAAAAACGTGTTTATAGTTATTAATTAAATATTAAACATTTTTCTGTCAAAAGTGCCCATTTATAAGCTCGACGTCTATTCCACATCGTGCAAGTGACCGATCGATAAGTTTATATGATGCAGTGAAAATGATGCCATTAACAACGTCAACGGTGACGTCGCCAAGGAAGATGTTCCGCGTTGATGTCTCGTCGATGTCAAGTGTCGTGTTGGTAAATTTTGGGCGTTGTTCAAATCAATTCTGATTTTCTACTCTTGATATCTTTGGTTACTTTATATGTAAAATGTGGAACATATCGTCGTTTATTTCTTTAAAAAGATTATAGACATTTTTTTAAATGAATTGTCCGTTATCATGTCATGTTTATTATAGAAATTAAGAATTACGTAAATTGTGCTTTCTATATATGTATATATCACACCATTTTGGCATTTTACGTTTTTATATTTGCCCGTCGTTCGCGCGGCGCATCTTTAATGGTTGGTCGATTTGCCAAGCTTTACCTCTCGAAAGAAACTGTCGTAAGTAATACAGGTCAACGACTTTAACAACGATAGCAATACGTATGCGGTTGCTACATAGTTGTGAGTAAATATTTCCTTATGAATGTTTCTATTCATTATTATTGCAATGATTTTAGTAAAACAACTAGAAAAATATTCCCTTTCGCAAAAAAAAATAAAAATAAAAAATATTTGAAAAGAGGTAATGCTAAATAACGGATAGATATCGAGTCAAAGTCGCATCGACCAACAATCGATTCAAACTCAAAGAAATATAGAGTGTGGTAAATCTGCAGAGAAATTTCACAAAAATAAATTACATAAAATATATATGAAATTCGTTAAACCAGCTTATTGGTACTGTCCTATTTACATAATATTTATATAATAATTTTTATGTATATTCAATTTTAAGTGACATAGTTATTTTATGATGATCTTATAAATTTTATAAATAAAGCAAATTTAGAACAGCAATTATTAATAAAATGTATTATCTTAAAAGTATTAGCTTAATAAGGGATCTATTTTAAAATTTAATGAAATAATTATAATCTATACTACTATTATAGTATAGTTACTTGTATGGAAAGAGTTGTCTAGAAAAAAAAAAAATAATAATAAAAGAAAATATCTCTTATCCATAATAAATTGTTGATTAATAATTTCTTACCTCTTCCGTTTTTGCCGCAATTGTCATTGGTGTTTCTATAAGGCTAGAAAAACTGGCCCTACTACCGTGTCTACTACTCCTACTTAAACAGCCGACGTCATTGATCTCTCCAGCAGCGATTCTAGCGATCCTATCATTCTCTATGCATTGCGATAATGGTATACCGAACACCAGGCCACCAGCGACGTCTGTAAAAGATAAGAAAGATAGATAAAAAATTTAAAAATTGTTAAAAATTTATAAATATAATTCCTTCAAAAATTCAAGTTTTGTATATGTTAAATAAACGTGGCGTTTTAATTATTCTACAAATTAAAAAAAATTATCACCGATTTATGATAATAGTGAATTTGACATTATAGATACGGCATTTACATGCTTGTCGCATTTCTTAAATTTCCATCGTAAATATGTTGACATCACTCTATTTTATCTGATCTAAATGAATGTGCACGTGTAATTTGAATATGAATATAACAGTAAGAGCTTTGTACAACGTTTATTGATGAAATGTTTTGGTTGTAATTAGAGTGTGCAAGTATAATTGAAATTTACATATATATTTGATGGCGTGTTGTACGTTATAAGCATAATTAACATTTACATATTTGGTATCATGGTAATTATTGCTACTAAATTTGTTTACTAAATTTGTTAACTAGTATATTATACATATATATAATTTCGTCAGTAAATCTCTTTTTCAAATAATTCTCCTCTTGACTTGGCTAGCAAGCAAACAAGCGAACTTGACGAAATCTAACAATACTATCTGATCTACGAGCCGTCAGCTGCGCTTCACGTTCACCAACCAACGAATTTGCGTATATATATATATATATATATATATATATATATATATATATGGTGTGTGACGTTTTTGGCATACGATTTTACGCATAAACAAACTTCGACACATCGACACATTACAACAATCGTTTATTAACAAAAGTAATATTTATATTATATATTACATTATTGCAACAATTTGTGCTCCGATGCAATAGTTTGATTAATTAAATATATGTGAATGCCCAAAATGTGAATTTTGTTTTATAAAAAACCGGGAGAATAGGAATCAATTAATTATAGTAGAAAATATCTCGAAATGGAGCTATTCTTCCAAGAATAACTTTTCGTTATAATAGAAGAATTATAAGATCAGATGATATTTTATTAATTTTAGATTCAACATCTCTCACCACAAGAGATACTCCAATAAAAGTTACACGAATCTTTTATTGTTGCTTTCTGATTAATTTTAAATCGCCTAGAATAACTCTATTCGAGTTTTGCCACTATTATTATCCAGACTTTATGTATTGGTATCATTATGTACTAATTCAATATAGCTTGAGATATTTTAGCGATTCGATTCCTGCTACTCGAAAGTGCAGTGCAGATCTTCCGTAGAAATGACGTGCGTAATGTGACAGTAATTAGCATCAACGTTTCACCCACCGGCTATTTATTGCGCATCTTTTCATCGCCGCCAAGAACGTATTCCACAAAACGCAAAGTTGCAATAGGAAGACAGATGTAAACTTCGCGATGTCTGCCCACGTCTGCCTCGCTCGTCGATTGCGATGTAAAGAAACCAAGTAATACGAAGCATGATTGCGATGAATATTTGTTAAAAGCAATGATACATCTACATCTTCGATTATAATATCAGAATAAAAGAGAATTACACCAACAACTACTCTTGCAATTTATATCCACACAAAGAATTCTTTGTCAATAAAGCCGTTTCATTTTGATAAGGCACATTCATTGCGATCAGCGATCGCATTTCTTAGTAACGACTGTCTTTTCAATATTTCACGATTATCTATCGGTAATTATTTTATTCGTAGTTTCTACGATATTTCAAACTTATTTTGATAGAGTTTATCTATAGTATCTATAGTAGTTTTATATTACTTTCTTTGTTATGGAATTAATTTTACTAATTACTTGATGATTTAATATATCGATTATTACAACGTAACGGCTTGTTTATTGGCAATGCAATTTTCTATTTCAATTTAAAGAAAAATAATATTCGCGATCATATCACGGCTAGTGATAATCGAGAAAGGACATTGAAGGACATTGAAGTTTCATAATCGATTACTTTTCGAAAAGTCAGCTGAAAGTCGAAAGGTAGCGAACCGTGTCCCTATGCCGGTCCGATTATAGACTGTGATCTGGGCCATTCCGGCTCTCACTTCGAAATGTGCCTCTCGGATACGTGGAACGTGAGGTACTTTACGCGCTACAATGTACGAAGAGAAGACGCTTCTTCTTGGAAGTGTCAAAACAATCATTGGTATCGATCGTCAACACACTTTTACCACCCCCGTACGATGGCTCGGCGGCGATGTTGAGTACGTATTTAGATGCACGAAATGCGAGTGTACGGACATTGCGTGTATAAATATCCTCGATGTATCTTGTTGCACACGCGCGCACCCCCCCCCCCCGCGTCCCACACACACACACACACACACACACACACACACACACCACACACACACACA